TTTCTCTTAATCATTTTCCAAATATTTTTTTATTTCCCAATTTTCTTGGGATATTCACTGAAATATTCCTTTTAATAAGCTTAAATCTGCAATGTGATCATGCACCAGTCCGACATCGAACCCAGGTCTGTACCGTGCTAGGGAACTATCCTACCACTAGACCATGGGTGCCTCAGTGTCCAGGTAGAGGCCTATCTTTAATTAAAAAAACTACCAATTAGCAAACACCCAACAGACAGAAACCATAGCCTCCTCGCTCATCCCGAGAGCAGTTGATGTTCATCTAAAGCATGGTTATAATGATTTTCCTGGTCGATTTTGTGAAAATGAGATCCTATTTTTCAACTAATAATATCAAAACCCTGCTCTTCCCAGACGACTTTTGTGGACTTCAGTACTACGAGGGAGGCAGTGCACTAGTTACAGAATAAGAAAGCTGTCTGACTGAAACAAGAGAAAGTTGAAGCTGAGAACAAACATAAACTTGAAATTTTTTTTCTCAGTAGTTTTTGTACAATTGATAAGATGTCACAAAAGAATAAATTTCGAGGAAGTTGGTTAACTCCTTATATTTCAACACAATTATCATCATTATCATCATCTGTTTCATTGTCCCAATCCAGCTGAAAGGAGTTGGCTGATTTCATCAGTTCTGTTAGACCGGTAAGATCCTCTAGATAAGTAGGATGATTGATAGCTTGAAGAACAAATTCCATTCCCCTGTTGCGATATTCGGATACAACCTGAAAATTTCATCATATGATCAGATCAGACTTTATGATGTCAACATAAAAGAAACTACTAACAAATGCTGATAGTAATGAAGAACTTACGGTCTGGCAACAAGCTGTGCAACTGTTAGAGGAGTGACCCACAAGGGTCATTTGTGAAAAGTTAGAGAGGGAACCTCGAATCTGATGTGGTAAGATACCAAGAGGAAGCTCTGTATTTCCACTATTATTGGAGTTTGAAATCTCAGCTTCAGCAAATATCCTGCACATGCAATCGGATGTCATAATATCAGAACTGATAGATAATAACCTCTGGATAATTGTTATTAAATCTTTTAAAAGCTCTTAGATTACTTGAGAAAAAAGGATTCATTGGCAAATTAACTTTTTTTTTTTTTTTTTGAAGTATCAACAGTTTGTAGGTGTTACCCATGAGGGTGATGCAAGATGCCAACTAGAAGCTCAACTGCAAGAGATGAAGCAATAGGAGCACTTCCTGGACGTGTAACGGTGCACTGTTGGTCCAAAGTCCGGTTGGAAGTTGACTGCAGAAACAACAACGGCATTTACTTTTGAGCTCAAGATGCATGAAAATAAAAAGAAAAAAAGAATAAAAAAGAGCAAGGGCGTTGCTCATCGCAAGTTAGAAGTTACATCAGTTGGTGCAACCACATCATTGCAGAAGTAACAACCCAATCTCTGCCGTCCATCTCTAGCTGTTATGGCAAGATTGTCCATTCCGGTGGATAAAGATTCCAAAGTTTCAGCCTTCAAGTCATGGACATGGTTAAAAGGCCCAGGTCCATGGCGCATGACCAAGAAGCTATCAAACCCTAGAGCTGCTGTAATGGTTATCTGCATAAAATTAATTACAAACAAACCAATTATCATCCATAAATCAAAGTTAAATGAAATGATTTCCTGCTCTGCATTATCTGAGCTTGATGCCAGAACATATTCCAAAAGATCAAATAATGAATTCAAAGTCACGAGAGATCAACCTTATTAGCATTGGCACAAAGAAGGGTAGGAAGCCATCGACTTTCTCTAGTATCAGTCAGCAAAAAAATTGCATCATGAGAATCAATCAGATCACTAAGTAGTCTACAATCTTCAAGCACACGATCCACCTCTTGGCTAGGCACCGGATGTCCAGGCATTGGAATGGCCATAACAACACCCTCTGCTTCCTAAGAAAAGAAATTAAGTAGACATATGGTATAAGAAAAATAACAAATTTCCTTTTCAGATTGAACCTTGTTTATATAGTTTAAAAGCCAAAATAAATTACCACTGCTGGAAATATTCGCTTTAGACTTTTCACTGCTGCTACAGCCTTGAAATCACCACCATGGAGGCAGTCTTCCAATGTATATAAGGACTGCCTCAATGGATTAGACATGGCTACCTTGCCATTGTCAATTAGTGTAATTTTACGGACACCCCAAGCCTGTAACATGTATAGTCATTAATCATCTAGAAGACTAGAAGAAATAATCTGAAAATTCTAGTAATAACTTTTGAAATACCCACCATAAGCATGCGAGCAACCTGGCAGCCAAGTGTACCTGCTCCTAGGAGAAGGCACTTAAGAGAAAATAAGGTGTCTAAGTTTAACGATGGTAAAGCTCGCCATCTCATTAGTTTTAAATTTAAGTCTGCAGCAGATATTGCTAACCTGTAAAAACATTCCAAGAGTGCTTAGGTAAAAACAGAATGATACCATCATGCACCACAAAGTGACAATTTAGAGAAGTTACCTAGTTGGATCCATAGACTTAGCAAGGTTAATAGACCTTGGTAACTTTCTCCCTTTGTTAAGTTCCCATCCCACAGCATTGGGTGCAAACTGACGATCTCTCCATTCTAATGAAATATTATAATTTAGAGAACCCCACAAATTAAAGGAAAAAAAATCAGACTACAGCTAGAGATAAATAAATAAATAAGAAGTTGTTTCCCAATCCAGCTGCAGCTCCTACCCTGTGGAACTGTGATCAAGGCTTCACCAACAAGGGACAGCCCCAGATCTGCAAAACCACGATTCTCTCTGTAGCAGAGGAATTGAACTCTTTGGAGATTCCATCTCGAACAAATAAGTGCTAGGAAGTTGCGGAGAGGCCAACCAGGATGGCTTGGAAGATGACATGGATCATAAAAGGCAAATAGCAACTGCCAAGAACAAATTTATAGCTTTAAGGAGGAAGCATAGTTTCATATTTTAACTTCACAAGAGTCGTGAATCATGTTGAATCATTGTAAAACCTTCACTACTTTAAATCTATTTAGTGCTCAAAAGTCATGAAAAGTTACACAAAACAAACCTTTTCACCATCACCTTGACAAATCTCCCAGTCCTTTAAATGCCGAACAGTAGCACGTGAATCTGAACTAAGACTGACCAAAAAGAATGGCACATCTGCAGTAGACTCATCAAATTCAGGATCTCTCAAAAGAGCGTATTAAAAACAAAAGGAACATATTCACATGTAAATATCAAAGTAGATGGAAACATAATTCTCGATGTAGTACTAATGGAAGAGACAAATCTACCAGCAGTTGCACTTGAGTTCCGCCATTCATTACATGCTCCTGATACAGATTCTGCCTACATGTTAAAAGAAACAAATAAGCACCAGGCAAGAAAGAAAACTCTAAATGGTTAACAAGAAGTAATCACATTTTTAGCACCTCTTGCAAGGTAAAAAATTGTGAAGCTGGCTTCAAATCAACCAAAGTTGCTGGAGGATCAAGTACAAGAGCAGGGAAAGCAAACCAGTAATGAAAAGTCCATTTTTTCAGGTCTGCAAATGATATAAGGAGGAACCTCGATAATGCTGCACAATTCTCCACAGCTTTTCCAGTATGAATGTCATCCCAAATCTAATTATCCACAAAAAGAACATATACCATAAATATAATTTCCCACTTTTAGAACTGAAAAGAGCAGATCATCCTACGAATTAATTCAAGAACTAAAACTTATATTGTTGTTTGGACTTGCACAAAGTGAAGCTGTTAGTGCTGGTTACCTTTTCTGCTTCTGCCTTTAGCAAGCTATGTTTATCAAGGGCAAGGAAGCTCTCCCAGGTATTCGAGTTGTAAAGAATTCCTGGAACAGAACACCTGTTTCGATTGCCACGAGCTATAGTTTCCGCGGATGATTCTTCGTTAGAATCAGATGGCAGAGACTCAGCAAGAAGTGTCAGGTGATTTGATACTTGAGAATGCGAACATGGTGCATAGAAACCTACAAAAATCCAGTTCATACCTCAGATTACATAACCCCGAATGTGCTAAAATTGCATTGACAGCTTTCTATTAAAAATTAAAATATCAAAATTTTCAATAATTAGATGGATTATAATTTAACTAAACTAAAGTCCATGTTACAAGTAAACAGAAATTCCTCTAATTTGATGATTAGTGAATCCAATAAGCTTCTCTGCCGTAACAGGACTTAGTAATTCAACTACGCAGCATCTAAAATTCATCAAAGTTTCAATCTTTTTCACCTTTCCATCTCTTTTAACAGATTTCGATCAAAACCCACAAAAAATTCATGCTAATTAAGCTTTTATTGTGGAATTCATGGGCGTACCGGTGATTGGGATGGGAGAATCGTCGATGCCGAACTTGTTGAGCTTCAGAGAAGACAATCTGTGCCAAAATCCCTCGTCAACGGAACTCTGAAACGGCGCGAATTGCAGTATCGGTCCGCTCTCTTCCCTCGCCATGATCGTTCTTCGAAATTCACTTCAATTTCCCCCTTCCTATATCTTTCCTCTTTCTTCAAATTTCAGTTCCTGGTCTTTGTTTGTTTGTAGTCTACTCCATTTTATCTTATTTTATTTTATTTATTTATGAGATTCAAGCTTTTTTTAAGGTATATTAGATATTAAAAATATAATTTATTTAATAAATTTATTTAAATAATTTTATTAAAAATATTTAAAAAAATTTAA